TATAAGGAACGAATCGTTGACGTAATCAGATAACAGAGTAATCCCCCCGCTGTAACGTCACAAGTGACGATTTATGGCTACGTACTTACACTCATAAGTATTAGGATATTTATCGAACGCAAACTAAATCAAAACAGTCGTTATAAAAAGATTGAGATAAAAAAAAAATGATTCACTTCGGAGTCTCGTAGTATAAGGATCGTTTTTATTGATGTATCGTCATATTAATATCTAAGATAATTTATACTGCATTCGTAAGTTCTCAAAAAAAAAAAAAAGGTAATTGAATTTTGCGACTGTGGTGTGATAAAAATAGACAGCTCTAGCAGTGTTTAGAAATACTAGAAGTGGCTAAGTTTGAAATCAGCTTCATATTTAATGCTAAACCTGGGTTGTTCTGCTAATGAGATTAAGATGTGTAATTTAAATCGTATAATACGAATATAACAGGTGTCTTAAAATTTATGAACGATAGCGTATGCATACTACCTCCTGTAAAACGTCCTGTTTTTTTCTTCCTCGCAACTTCACGTGTCAGCAAGATTCTGCATCATCAAAGTCGATGCCAATACCACAAAGTAGACCTATAATCGTACCATCAGTTGTAGCGTGCAGCCTTGGTAATCTTCGTCCAAGATGACTAAATTAGCTTATTCTAGACTCTATTTACTTCTTCTTCCCCTATCTACACACTCCTCCTCGAAACAATGCAAATAATTCTACCGGCAGAAAATTTGCCTACTCTACTTTCACATTATCTCACCCGTTGAATATAGAATCCGTCTCATCTCTTTATACAGAAGATATCTACCTTCGAATTTTCCCAAATCTCCTCCCTCCGCCGACTCTCGCGCATCTCCTATTCAAACCGCCATTTCCCTCGTCCATCTATCCACACATCAACCCCATGTCTACGCCTATAACACCCTTTCATTAAATAATCCTCCAGCAGAGCACAAATTTCACGCAGAATTATTACGTCTTCGGAACGTTGTTCGGGCCACTTGCAATTCCTCAAACTCCCCCGAATGCCTTCCACCTCCGGCGCCGCCGCCACCTTCTTCCCACCACCCCTGATATACCTCCATTCGCGTATTTATTCAATTGCATTATCTCTCATTCTCGTACGAAGACGTTCGTCGCGACGCGCACACAGATCTGGCGTGTGCCCAAAAGACGTTCTTTCTTTTTTCTTTTTCTTTTTCAAAGGCGTGTGACCCAAATATCGGGAGTGGCGCGGCAAGTCGCGAAACACGGGAGAACAACCAGAAAAACGGGAACAACTCACGTCTCTCTTTGTTCCTCTCGTTTTCTTTCTTTCTCGTTACTCCGTAGAGTGATTGGAACAGATAGAGACGGACAGAGACGTGCGTCGTTAGAATGAATTAAGTTAGACGTTCAACTGGACAGTCGAAACGACAATGACCCGGTTTTATCGGGTTATGTAATCGACGATGACAAGACGATCGCATATCCGAACCGGTACCGTGGAACCGCTGACGTCAAACAAGCTGATTAAGCCTGTGTGCTGGTAAACTAAACGAGCACGCTCGTCAGGTATAAACGCCGATAAGAAGTTGTATACAAGAGAGAGAGGGAGAGACTGGCAATAAAAGTCTGACGCGTTAACAAGAGGCTGGGATTTTGATACGTTTATGACAAGACAGGTGACGTCACGATGAAAAAAGCCTGTTCGATGAATAATTTCGCTCCCGGATGTTGCGAAATTCTGAGAAACTGTAACACGGTGATTTGTATATTCGTTCGTTCTGTTTGATCAAAGATAAACTACGCGATCTGACGTGACCTTAATTAGGAATGAAAAAATCTGTACCGATATATTTCGTATATTTTGATCGTGGACCATCGATAACTCCACGGTGAGACACTCTAAGACTAAGAGTGCTACAGAAGAGTGTTTCTAAACACGTTCCATCATCCAATCGCGAATTATTATACGACACACACACGGTTCAACTTTGATGAACGGATCGAGATCCTCCGACGCAGCGTTACGTAATACAGCACGAAGCAAACTTGAGCGACTTCGAACGCGGAAATTGGCTCTTAACTCGTAGATTGATCGAACCTAAAGACACGGTAGTACTCGTGCTTACGTTACCACGAGAAATTCATTTGTTGTGAAAACGTAAGACGTATCGTCGAACTTTGCCGATGAATGTTACTTATTTGTATTGTTATTTTTCGCTCATAAAGGAACTAACAATCTTACCATCCTACTCACAATCATCTCATGTAACCACTGTCTTCTAGAATATCCAGACACGTTTAAAATACTGATAATAGCTTAATTCTACCTTATATACACGGTGTACAGATTATTCTACGTATTTTCACGTATTTCGAAATTCACCATTCGAAAACTAGAGAAACCGTTCATACTTCTCTCCTACCACTTACGCTTACCATAAATTTTTATACAAATATATAATATAGCTTGTTTTAAAGAATAACTTGCTTTTTAAAGAAAATGTGCGGTTTCGTTCACACGCGTCAATTTCACATCAATCAACTAGTTTTAAAAAAGTAAAATTATGAATTGCAGTAAAAAAAATGTATATTTCACACATATTTTTTAATAATTGTGTAAATAAATATTTAGATAAATTTTAAATAAATATTTGATAAACAAATAGGGATACATAACCCTATGTCATAGTTATGACAATAATATCTCGTCCTTTTTTAACTTACTTCCTAAGAGTCTCTCTCGAGCTAAACAGTTATCCCGAGTTTCACACGAGATAAACTGGTGAAAAGTTAAAAAAACAAGTTAATAAGAGCAACGACGAGGACTAACGAGAAAGGACAACGTTGCCCTGTCCCTCTAGCGGCGAAGCGTAGAAGTTACCACCGTGACACTACGCAAATGCTCCTCCAATTGTTCTTCCCGATACGCAGATAAGCTTTTCTACTCTCAAATACTGTTGTAGACAACAATACCAACGTTGACTCGAACAACCAGACACCAGATGTAATTTATGTAAAAGCGACGCGGTCTCGTCCAGACACGGAAACCGATCGACACACTTTTGCCCGTCGCGTCGAACGATTTATGAGGGCTCGATGCTTCAACATCACGCACAGAACGGATAAATGCGACAGTTTTATCGATCCGCGCGCGACAACCCGCCAACCGACACGGAAAGTACAAAATTGAAAATAAAAAGAAATAAAATGAAAAAAAAAGAGCCAAGGAGGTGGAAACATTACTCTGTTTCCTTTGCAAACGAACGTCGATGTTACCTGTTCCCTACGAATCACGTTCTTCCGCCGCCACCACTGTGCGACCCTATTAACCTAAAAATATGACCACCGGCACGCTCAATCACTAATATTATTAAGCGTACCGTCGCGTGAGTTACGTAATTTCCACGTGCAACGGTGCATTCGATAAATCCATAAACTGTGTGACAATAGAAGAACCGGGAGGTTTACCTCGTCTTTCGATACGCGTCAAAAGCTTTCAATTAATTCCCTTGTCGCCAGATATTCGACAATACTATCGTAGAATCGGGGCCTCCATACCCAAATAGGGAATCGACGAGGAAAAATATAGAGGGCGTTAGTGGCGTAGTGTGCAGTGTCTCGGCTTGCCAGCCGGAGGTCGCCGGTGTCGATTCCCGTTGAGTCCCCATCAATTGTTTCTTCGGTTCCTACACTATTCTATAGAAAACATATATAGGTATGTACTTATCTACACAGTGTAACCGAAATAGGTGTGCAAACTTCGATATAAACTTTTCCTTTCCCAGGCCAATGACAAATACAAAAGTTTGCCCTGTACATAGGTATGTACATATATATACACAGGGTTGGCGATGGTACGGATTTCATTGAAGGTGATTCAGATCGATATAAATTCTTGATAAGCAAGCTACGCAAGATAGAACCCCCGTTGTCACGGTCTTGTATCGCTCGTTTACCAAGGTATATGTATACATCTCTTTTGGGATGTGGAAGAGGCTTTCTGAGAAGCGCGCGCACGTTACGCGTGGAATCCACTGCGGCACAGTACCGACAAGGTCGCCGGATTTCTTGGACGCGTGATCCGCGAACACGCGATTCAACGCGACCGTAAAAATTGATAGCACTAGACCATCGTGATATACCATGGCACGATCGTGTGAGCTTTTATCGTGTTATGATCAGTGGAAGATATTATATCGGAGACAGGATAAAAATGTTTCGATTTTTTTTTTTATGGTTATTTATAAGTAGAAGAAGTTTGTACGTTCGATCGAATTGCGAAGTTTACATTGACAAATAGACGTATCGTACTGTTACCACGTTTTATCGACGACTATCCGGGCGTGTTGCCTTCGTTAAGGACTTACGTAATTGGACCACACGGTTCCGCGAGTTCATAATTACATGCGGGAATAGCGCGTGGTTTTTCTGACCACCGTTTGGACGAAAAAAATTGCCGGTATCACGAGTGAAAAATCGAGGATAATTATAATTGGCCGGGTAATTGGGTGGTTTGTATAGGTTAGGTTAGCCGACTGATCAACGTAAACTGCATTCAAATCGACACCTATTTCGCGTAAGCTCCATTTGTAACCCTGATACTTCCTATAAATAAGTTACCCTGACTCCGTTCGTTTGTGCGATCAACGATTCGTGACGTCAGATATGACGTTGACGAATGATATTTTCAGGTAGGAATGCGAGAGATGCCCGCCATTTTTATTTCACTCGTGTCGTCTTGGTTCATTCATGAAAACCTTCACTGAGTAGAGGAAATAAGTCTAACTGTATTAAAATACACTGAAAAGTAGAGTATCGATATTGAGAAGTTGAAGAAAGTGTAGACCACATGAGTGAAACGTAGGATTTAAAAAAAATAATTCTTAAAATATTAAGAAAATAGTAAAGATTTTTGTAACGTATACACGTCTAGAAAGAAGAACGGTTAAACGTGTAATAGAATCTTGAGTATTATTGTGTCGGTTGTTTAACTTGTAAGGTACACCAACGGTCTACTTCTTCCATTGTAAATGAGCTTTATTTACGTGGCGCCTATCTAGCATCGGTCATCAAACAGTTCTAGTGGAGAGATATAAAATTTAACGCGGTCAATTCGAATCATATGCACGTTCAATGATGAATGCTGCTTCTATAATCGTTATCAGTATTTGCATTCAATACAGACGCACAATTAACAAATCACAATTCCCTCATTTGCTTCGGTATATTTGCACGTGGAAAACCTTTGCCTTTTTAAAAGTAACGACGTTGATTCAGAACACGATAATTTTCTACGTCACGTGATTTCACCTACCGACCTCGATAAAACAGAACACATATTCTGAAAAATAAAACTCTTTTACCAGAATTTATGTATTTCAGTCGTTCTACATAAATCCATTTGTTTCACCCACCGATATATACAATATAGTGAAGCATTTGCAAGAAAAACGAACACAAACTGTAGAATTCGACAGCTCTGCATTTCAAACGAAAACATGTATATCGATAAAATTATTATTTATACTTTGGCCCTTTTTTTAAATATCCTAAAAACTACACTGCCTGCTAGTCGAATGGAATTTAATTAAATTTATTCTCACGGAAACGAAAACAAGTTCCGAGGCAGCATACCGAATCGGTGTGAACTACCTAGAAATAAATTTGGCCAGTCGGCCAACTTCAGAGCGCCACCGTACTCTTATTTTACACCGTTTCCCTGCTCCTAATACCGTCCGCGATTTATTTGCAAGGCGCCTTTTGGCTGCTTTTCAATTACCGATAGTCCAGATCGATCTCGGCCAATAGAGGTTTCCCGTTGGTTTCCCTATCCGCCTGAAGCTGCAGCGAATTCATAACCTCACAATGTGGTTTGCCGTGTGTTAAACGCAACCGCGAGTGTTTATTCAAATGGATTCGACATCAGGTAACCACTTTCGATGTTTTCGACAACTTACATCTCACTTACATAAAGATATTTTCTCTTATTGTCGACGTTCAAGCTTGACAGAGCTGTTCGATGTTGAACAAGATAAATAAACATGGAAGACGGTTAGGAAGAAACGATGTTGACATCTCAGACCGACTACGATTCAACTGAGGTCGGTAGACGTATCGAGTTTCACAATATCGTGCCCACCGATATGCAACTACTAAAGAAGCGGGTATTTATGGTTCAAAAATGGAGGCATGTTTTCAACGACTAATAATTGGCGCGAAAAACAAATCTCGGCTTTCGAAAACGCGTCGCCTCAAATATCGGTCTTTTAAGTCGCATCTATTTATTGTTTGTTTAGACGAATTCTGAATAAAGAAATATATATTAAAGGATGCTTAATAAATACCGTAACTAATTTCGAACAGATTCCACACGATTCGATAAATCGATCTTTCGTAACCTCAATCGCGTTCCAGAAATATACAACTGTTCGCCTAAGAAAACAACACGGAAAGACAAATAATTCGAAATAGAAGACCTAAATCGTAAAACATCGACAGAAGACCGATATCGGAGGTACGGGATTGAAGTCCGTGGAACAATCGTTTCGGTGGAAGTAGGTGCAGCCAGACAGAACACGTTCAACTAACCGTGGATAATGTGCTAAGGTCCCATGCGCTCTTGGCCTGCTTTTGGTAGCCCTTCTTATTCCTTTTGCCGGGTCTGCGCAGACTGGAGAACCATCCTGCGGCTATGGCGACCGCGCTCACGTCCCGACGGTTATCCGCCTGCACGTTGCCGCCGTGGACCTCGTCGAGCGCGTCCACCGACCTCCCGGTGAAAATCATGCTTGTCGACGAGTCCAACTCGCCAAACTCCACGGGCCAATGGAATTTCTCGCTACGCACAGCTCCCTTCACTTCGCCCCGGCTCCTGTGATACTTTCAGGAACAACCTAACCACACTTTCGTGCACCATGCACTACTGCACGCGAAACCGTAGCTGTTCAGCCGCGAGGGTGACATTGACGCGCGCGATTACTATCGCGAGGGTTAAAGGCGATCAAGTTTTAGAAGACTGTCCACACTCGAGATCAAAGATCTCACGGGTTCAACGACCTCTAACCATCGATGGCGATTTCTTCTTTCAACGAATTGTCCAGCAATCAAACCCCTCGATCGATATTTCACTGACGCGTGTCAAACACACAGCACGTGATAGGTTAGACGCACTGAGAATTCTTATTTTGAAAATTTTCGATTCTTTCGATCGACTCGTATTAACATCGACGAGGAAACAATTTGTCTGATAAAAAATCTCTGGATAAACTTAATGTTTCATTCAGCCACTGATAAACTTTTAATAGAACTCTGGTAACAACAACAGTCACACGAGAGTAAATATATTTCGTAACTTTGAACTACCCCGGTGTTTTCAAACCACTTTCACACAATCGTTCAACTTTCGACTAACGTTTGATTCTCTGATAAAGTCGAGAATATTGTGATAAAAGGAACGGGGAATTTAACACGGAGTACGCACGAAGATCGCGTCAGTTGGTCAAGATCCTGACGAGGAACTAAAGAACGATCCGCCCCGCACAGCGGCCGACGTGCGACTCATGAGTGCGAGTAAACGGTTGCGCTGGAAACGCGCTGGCGCCTCGCGGTGGACGTGCCGTGAACTCAGCCACGCGTCTGCGAATACAGGCTGATTCTTGCAACTGGGACGACGGCCTTATATCTTTCTTCTAAATAAAGATGCCCAGGGAATAATAGCATACAAAACAATCGATCTTATCGTTTCGTAATCTCTTCTTCACAAGTGGCAGTTCAACAATATTAAGTACTTTTTGTATGAATGATCTAGTCAGCAGAATACACTGACCCTAAAAACTTTGATATCTTCCACGAGATAGGTATTCGGTAAGATACGCGAGTACCAATTCATTTCGATGTACGTACACGTTTCCTCGCAAATTGTCCATATTTTTAATTGCTCGATAACTTTCACGTCGATAGCGGTTCAATTAAATATTACACCACGCCTGAACGGTGTACATAACGCAAACGATTGCAGGTTGCAAATAAAACGCATACGCGGTTGCATCTTGCAACGGTGCTGCACCTGCTGATGAAATAAAACGGCGAGCGAGTTGAATTTTTCTGAATCAACCTGCGCGCCACTTTTTCATCCATTTTTTTACCGCCGTGTTTTTATCTCATCGCGAAAATGAAGTACGAGCCGCCCCAGTTGCAAGGATCAGCCTGTACACCGTCGTATCGCGCGCGTTCACGTCGGCTCTCGTAGCGAGGTCAAACCAATCCTACTGCTACCCGCGACTCTTTACGGCCAACGTACGATTCGAAAAGTACCGAAAGCTCTAAATTGACCCGTGCAATTCCTCTCCGGCTACACTCGGGCTTGCCAGACTTTCGAAAAAGCAATTGCAGTAATTTTATTTCAAAAGTCCGTTGCACGCGCGATACGCTTAATTAATACGCGGTATAAAACCGAGAACGGTGCTTTTCGAAAGATCAATATTTCAAGGAGGGCAAATATTTTTTCCCTCTGACGAGCCATATTTTCCCCAACGATGCTTCCGGTTTAAGTTAACTTGATCATTACTATCAGCGCAATATATGTGAAATAAACTACTACTTTGATCTTGATCGTGTTAAATTAGGTAAAATAGGCGAAATATAGTCTCGTCGAACGTATAGTCGGTGAAAGAAATATAAAAAGCATTGATCCTTGAAAGGAGGATGGTTCGACTGACTAAACGGGAGCCGGTGCTTGGATCCGTTCAGACCCTTAATAAATATTGTGTCTTTTACGTGTCTTTTAGAGGCACGTTCGATTTCTAATCGCTCTAACATAAACAAATGACTTGGATCGCGTGTCAATTATATAATAGGGCTCGATCACAGCGTACTCGGGTCCGAACTGACCCGGGCACCGCCGGGCGAGGGTTAAGTAGGGGCATCGATTGATAATGATTCTCAAGATTCTGTAAACTCTGACGCCTGAACCGATCTCACGACCTCGCTATATTTCTTCCACAGACTATACATATGCGTTCAAAGTGCTCAAAGACTTAGTTGCAATCAGTTTATACAACCGAAAAAAAACTAGGAGTAATATTCGAAGAGAATTCCCTAGGTACACTGTTTAAAAACTGTATTCTCCAGATGTCCTCCCGAATATATACGATAATTGGTTAAAAATAGAGATTGTGCATCCACGAATTGAACCCAGGCAACACATTGGTAGGGGCAAGTGGCCACTCGAAAGCGCGCATACTTGCGGAGGATCGTGAAAAGAATGCTGGTTCCGAGAATAAGGATGAAATTTCACCGACTGCTTATCAATTGGCGGCGCTCGAGTGTCGCTAAGGGCGTTGACAGGCCACGGTTCAACCTGGTCTCGTCGTTTTATCTATGCTCGCCTGGCTGGCCTCTTCGAGAAGTTATTTCATCCAACTTTCGCGTTACTTAGGGCGACTGCGCTATTTCGCGTACGGTGCTACTCGCTTCAGCGCGAACAGACGATTCTATTTAAAGTGACTAGCGTTCAGTGGACCGAAATGGCGTCTTAATTGAATGATCACAGTCTTATAGGAGATTAATAGTTTTTTTTTATCGTTAGAAAAATAAAAATTCTACTGCTGATATTTTTGTTACTAAGTTCGGAAAAGATATGCTAAGGAACTTCAATGGCGGACTACTCATCGATCGATTAATAATGCAATTATTCCCGCGAAGAATACGACATTCGCGAACGTACTTCTTTCTGTTCAGTATTATCGAATATGACGTCACACGTCTACTGAACCATATCGGGCGCATTAAAAAACAGATTAACAAATGTCAAATTAAATAACGCAGTCACTTTTCTAACACGGCTTATCGTTTCCTCGACCCCATTGGTTCAAGGGTCGAATAGTAATTCGCGAGTGCTGCGTAAATTATCAGATACGATTAACCATCGCAGTAAACAAAGAACAGCAAAAACGTACATACGCCTGATATCGTTCAATTTCCTACTTTTTCACTAGTTAAAATAGTTGGTCGATTAATCACGAAATGTATCAGCGAAATTACGCGGGAAATCGAGCGCGTCGATCGAATAAAACTAACGACGACAGTGCTACCAACGAAATTACAATATAAACGAGCCGTGGACGTCGCGTATTTCACCGTTCCTCCAATGCTTGTTTCATTCGTAAATAACGATGTCACACTTTTCTAATTCTGGTTTCCGCTTTTAAACTGTCGATAAATATCGCGAACGAAACGAGAAGAGGGAGAGAAGTGTAGCGGAGGATCGTTGGCCGATACAACGACTACGAAATCACGTACGTAGTTTGTAAAAGAATCGAATTCCTTCCGAGTGATTCACGACTAGAAGCGAACGGAAGAAACGTTACTCGACTTTGTTTGCTCTCTTCTTTATCGGCTGACGATTCCCCCGCCCCACTCTGGCGACGAAAAATCGAACGAGAAACAGATTACGGATGTGTATAGTACATCCTCTCCGCGTCACGGTGTAGGGAGCACGCAATTCTTCACATTTTCGAGGATATCTCTTTCGTAGGATCCGCAGGCGGATGTGTGGCTCGAAAAAAATTGCACTTAGCCCATGGGTGCACGTATCCGCTCGGAACGATACGGCCTGTGGACGCATATATCCGCTGAGCAAACAAAAATCTCTGTCTACGATCTACAATTTCCCCGTAATATATGTCTATTATATTCGGTAGATACGTGTATCTCTTATTCTTATCAAAGAACGCTTGTTATTACTGGATGGCCACACAGAGTGTTTCAAAGGTTAAACGTGCGAATCGAACTCGCGTCGTCGTTGCACCTGCTACAGCTGCATCGCGAACGGGACGATTGACCGGGCGTACACGCGTTTATCGCGTGACGGTTACGCAGATGCGCGCGCATGCCCTTCACGAAAGTTGCCCCGATTTGTTTTGCTCCTGACACTGTAGACACACTCAGACAGAATTCGTCTTTGAATATTTTTGTTTTTTTTTTTTTTAGGTTGCATCGGTACGTATAACTGTTCGAGGGTAAGAAAATACGTCGAATAGGGGAAGTTTGTTTGCCTGGCCTGTATACTGGCTGGTTTTCAACGACATAGTGCTTCCAGTGGCACGGACAATGGAATAACAAGAACGTACGATGTATCCCGAGATAAGTATCAATATAGCGAATGAAATTTCCAAGAAAATAAAAACTCTGTAAACCACGTACACTAACTTTGAATTTAAATAAAACCAGGAATACATATTTCCAACCTGGCTGAACTCTCGATGCACGTTTTTCACCCGTCAACCACACGAACAGTCTCAACAACGAAACAATAATAGACGCGACTGCGAACAAAAACCCTGCGAGTGAAACACGCTTCTAGGAAAATAAAAGGACATGCAAAAAGGGGGTGGGATCGAATGGTAGAAGCGATTACCATTCCGCTGGCAAGCTTCCCAGTTACGTTGAAACTGTGGAAACGCGTCTAGATACCAAAGAGCAACAAGACGAAAGAATCCACTTTCCCGATAAAATTATTCCGCCACACGTACACGTTACCAACGCTAATGATCCATTAACGCACAAGCTTCGTTCGAATAATTCCACAAAAACACGATACACACGACGCGACGCGACGCGACGCGACGTGGCGCGTCGTTCGTGTTGTCGTCCGGTGAAAACAGCAACGCAAGTGTAATGAATTTCGCCCTTTCAGTCCCAGGGGATGCCATATGGCGGGGAACGATTTACGCCCGCTGTTATATACGAGTATTCGACCACAATCCTCGCACAGTTTCGACGTTCACCTACGAATCTGCTGGATTTTCCACATCGATTCAACGTTATTTGCCCGATTGTGCGAGTAGAAAGGCAGCGGTTGATAACACAACATTGGTTGAGAAATGAGAAACGATGACTCACGTTGTCTATTAACATTACCACGAAGCAGATCCACCGGTTATTGGATTGATACGTCAGCTTCCTCCATAGGCGTTCGTCACTGTCATACAGCAATTTATTTATTTTTTCTCTCTCTCGTCGTCGTATTAACCCCTTAACACTCACGCCTGT